AAGGCCAACCTGTATATGCTCGTGCACGACAGCTAGATGCAAAAAAACTGAAACTGGCAAAGCAAGAATTCCAGTTTATGCTTGATAATGATATTATCCGACCATCAAAATCCCAGTGGGCCAGTCCTTTACATTTAGTAAACAAAAAAGATGGAACACTGAGACCTTGTGGGGATTATAGATGACTAAATGCTCAGACAATCCCAGACAGGTATCCTCATACCAAGGATAGAAGATTTTCATCTCATTTTGAGTGGGAAATCCATTTTCTCCAAATTAGATCTCCTAAAAGCTTATTACCAAATCCCAATTGCAGAAGAGGATAAGCCCAAAACAGCTATCATTACTCCATTTGGGTTATTCGAGTTTAATGTCATGAGTTTTGGACTTAGGAACGCACCATCAACGTTTCAGCGTTTTGTGCATGAAGTATTCCAAGGCCTTGATTTTGTGTTCCTTTACTTGGATGATGTATTAATAGCCTCATCATCAGAAGAGGAGCATAGTAAACACCTAAAACTAGTGTTTGAAAGATTAGACAAATATGGTTTATGCATCAATATATCCAAATCTGTGTTCGGAGTTGAAGAAATAGAATTTCTTGGATATCTCATAAATGCTGCAGGTTCAAGACCTCTCCCTGCAAAAGTGCAAGCAATTTTGAGTTACCAATTGCCAACAACAATTCATGATTTACGTACCTTCCTAGGTATGGTAAATTTCTACCGCAGATATCTTAAAAATGCAGCAGAAACACAAGCCATTCTCCACGAGATGCTCAAAGGTGCTAAGAAAAAGGATAAACGAAAAGTCCCATGGACAGAGGAAGCAAAATTGCAGTTCGAAAAGTGCAAAACAGATTTGGCTAACACTGCTTTGTTAACATTTCCCAAACCTGATTGCCTATTATCCTTATGTACAGATGCCTCAAACTGGGCAATAGGCTCAGTGCTCCAACAATTGGATGAAGGAAGCTGGAAACCCATTGCTTTCTACTCAAAGAAATTAAATGAAGCACAGAGGGCATACAGCACGTATGACCGAGAGTTATTAGCAATCTATCTCTCCATAAAACAGTTTAAGCATTTGTTAGAAGGTAGAGAGTTTACAATCTTTACTGACCATAAACCTCTTATTTTTGCTTTTAAGCAAAATAATGAAAAAGCATCACCAAGGCAGTTGAGACAGCTTCAGTACATCTCTTAGTTTACCACTAACATCCAGCACATTATAGGCAAAGAGAATATTGTGGCAGATACCCTGTCTCGAGTTGAAGAGATTGCTGTTATCGACTATGAAAAGATTGCACTGGAACAAGGTCAGGATGAAGAGCTGAGACAGTTAATTGATGGAGAGACTTCATTGATTTTCAAAAGCTATAAGCTCCCTTCTGGACACATCTTATGGTGTGATACCTCCCAAGACAAGATTCGTCCCTACATACCTAAACCATCTCGAAGAAAGATATTCAAGCATATACATGGTCTTTCGCACCCTGGCATCAAATCTACAGTTAAGCAGATGACTTCCAGGTTCGTATGGCCAAATATCAAGAAAGATTTAAGTCAATGGGCCAGATGTTGTGTTAGTTGTCAGCAAGTCAAGGTGACCAGACACACAAAGTCAAAGTTGGGAGAATACCAAGAAGCAGACTCCAGATTCAGTGTGGTCCATATCGATTTAATAGGACCATTGCCTCCCTCAAATGGAAAAATTTACTGCCTTACATGTATCAACAGATTTTCTTCTTGGGTTGAGGTGATTCCATTGGAAGACATTACAGCAGAATTAGTTAGCAGAGCATTTTATGAAAACTGGATATGCAGATTTGGAGTTCCAAACAGAATTGTGACAGACCAAGGGAGACAATTTACATCACAACTGTTTCAAAATTTGGCTGTTATATGCGGTGCAAAGATTTGCCACACCACGCCCTATCATCCCCAATGTAATGGGAAAATAGAGCGTTTCCATAGAACCCTAAAATCTGCAATTAAAGCTCACAACTCAATCAAATGGACTGAAGTTCTACCTACAGTGCTTCTTGGCCTCAGAGCAGCTGTTAGAGAGGATGGTAACCATTCTCTTGCTCAAATGGTGTATGGAACCAACATAAGGATTCCAGGTGAATTTTTTGACCCTCCAACTTGTGAAATAGAGCCTGATAGCTTTGTGAATAAATTACAAAAACATATGGCACTCCTCAAACCAGTGAAAATGCAAAATGCACCACAACAGAAAGTGTTTGTGCACAAAGATTTAGATACTTGTACACAAGTGTTTATTCGAGTGGACAGAATCAAGAAGCCACTTGAACCAGCCTATGAGGGACCATTTCCAGTTCTGGACAGGCAGGAAAAATATTTTTCTCTGTCAATTAAAGGGAAACCAGTGAAAATTTCGGTCGATAGACTTAAACCTGCGTATACCTTAAATACAGAGACTATGCCTGCAGATTCTAACCTAAGCATTGCTGATAACAAACCGTCAGTTATTAAACCCACCTCCCAAAGTAAAGAGGCAAGGCCTCCGACAAAATCTCGTTCAGGGAGAGCAATACACCTTCCTGTGAGATTCAGACTCTGAGTTATACTGTGAGATTCAGACTTTAGTCATAATTACTCATTATCTATCTTATTTCTGCTATTATTTGCTGATATGTGGTCTATAAATAAATGGAGTGACTGCATAGGTTTAGCGGTGATAATCTACATGATGGGATACTCTCCCAAGGACGTGTCTATATTTCAGTTTTGTAGTGAAGTATAAATTGTTATGTGCTATTAGTAATTCTACATAACTGAGTACTATATATTTCATTTTCTGCTTAGTATTGCCTTATTCAACTTGGTGATCAACTGCATCAAATATTTATAATCTTTGGAAGTAATTATTAATATGTATATTGAATGGGAATGATTTATTTCTTCCATAGGGGTATGTAGCTAATTACTTATTATTTAATATGGTACACATGTATATTTGAAATAGTTTGCATTTAGTATTGTTTTTGTTTAGATTCCAGTAACAACTTTGTATTCCTATATCATAAATTTACACATATTTCTTCTTCTTTTTTTTTTTTTCTGAGACAAAGTTAACCCCTTAACTGCCGCGGGCGTATATATACGCCTTACTCAGCCGATGCGATAACTGCCCCAGATGCGCAGCCGATGCGTTAACTTTGCGAATAATTTTAGGTGTAGCAGCGCAAAGCAAATGATAGCAGTTTGGAAGGACGTATATATACGCCTGGGGCAGTTAACACATCGGCTGAGCAAGGCGTATATATACGCCCGCGGCAGTTAAGGGGTTAAAATATGTGTTTCTAGAAATATTTGTATTGATAGTCAAAGTCATGAGTGAATAGAATAAGAAACGTGCATTGAATATTTAATATGTCTACTATGCAATATGAATATTCTAATAATACTGATCATATTTTCATTGCTGTTAGCTATTTCATGTCACTAAAAGCGTAACACATTGAATAGTTCATTTAAGCCCATATGTGGAGTATATATATTTATTAATGGTGGTATATACAAATGTTTTCCAGCATTTTGAAATTCATGATATTTTAAATGTAATTTGTACTTTGATTTGCTACATTACTTTGAGAAACCTGATACAACGTTTAGTAATTGATTTCTTTATGTTTTTATGTGAAGTGAAATTTGATCATAAGGTATAATGATCATGTTCTGCTATTACTGTCATGACAATTTATGTATCGTAACTTAGTTACTGGTGAGGGAGTGATGTTAGAACAACTTTCACTTCATCATCTCACCACTAGATGGCTGCACTATGCAGGATCAGTTATTCGAAGATGGCTCACCTGCTAGCTTGAAATTGTAACAAATTAATAATAAATTATAAAATAATGATTATTTGTAAAGGGAAAATACTGGTTAATTGTAAGCATTCCAAACTAACTTGTAAAGTGTTTTTTTTGTAATTTTTCTAATTGTTTTCTAATTTCTAATTGTTTATTAATTTTTCACTCTGTATTTTTAACTGCAGTTCAACTGTAACTTTGAACTGTGAGAGAGTCTGTCTGTCTCGCAGTTAGGAGCTATGTGTTGGACTGTGTGTGTGGAACATGTGTAAAAATAAAACTCTTGCATTATTTCAATTTAGTTCTGCTGATTTGTTAGCAGGATCATTATTAATATTGCGCAGACAAATTTTATAAAAGCAAGCTTGAATTTTCGATTATGTCAAAAAGAATTTCCAATTCTGAAGCTGCCAAAGGATCTACAAAGCGAAAGCATGTTTCGTTTTGGCAATGTATCATAAAACTGCAAAAGCATTTTCAAACAAAAAGTGGAATCGCCGCAAAAGATGGATAAAGGCATATCCTTGTGTCTCTAACCATTCCGAAATCTGTTTATCAATTTCACGCTGCTCTGCATGGGGGGGGGGACTATGCAGCGCGCAATGAACTGGAAGTTGATCTGTCAGCACTATTCTCATCTTCAGGGCAGATGTTTTTTTTTATTCGGCTTATAATTCCTTACTAAATATAGTATTTCATCTCGATGTACTCTGTCTTTGATATGATTTAAATCAAATTCCTCATCATTATAAATATCACGAATACACATCAAATAGTTTTCTGGTTGCAATTTTCTAATTTTGACTATGCGTAATGTATGCTTTACGCATGCGCACGTTCAAAGAAATGTTTAGTAAAGTAAACAAATAAATATTAAGCTATTTTTTTGTAAATTTTGATACCCTTTAGATCATATTTGCTCTTTATTTCATAAATTACGGTTTCATATTTTTAATTTTATAATTTCTGCATGCCATCTTACCAGATTTAAACTGATGATCTATAATCCGGAAAAACCGAAAATCCGGAATCGCCGAAGTCCCGACTAGTCGGGATTAAAGACTTTTGACTGTATAAGGTATTTTATATTCCTATAAAATATCAAATGATCATGAAAAAAATTCTCTGAAAATTAATTAGATATACTAGAAATTCTTACCTGTCTTTTATTATCTGACAGTACAATGAAGACACTTCATTAGTTACAAAGTTTAAAATATCTTTAGATACACTTTTATACTGTATGGTATTGTATTCATCCATTACCTATATATATATTAAATACAGTAATTATAAAATAGTATTGGTCCTGGAGTAACAATAGTTAATTTATAGCAATAGTAATTATAAAATAGTAGTTTACTTAAAGAATAACCACAAATCATTATATGTATTTATATATAGCATAAATTCAAACAAAATATCTAAGAGTAATTATAAATTCCAAACACTTAAAACTTTATATGGAATGGAAAAAGAAAAAACAAATACTTTTAAAGATGTGTTTTTGACACTTGTTTATTGCTCAGTACTCACCAATACACTGTGGACAGTCTATTGATGCCTTTTTGGGAATGAAATCTTGTTTTTGTATTTCTGTGGATAGTGTTTAGCAACTGCATTAAAATGGCATTGATTCAGTCGTTAATTATCTGCATTAATATGAACTCTGATATGTCAGTAGACAAGTGAAGATAAACTGTGCCATGTTGCAATTAATTTCTTAATTTTGTTTATCCTCATTAGATGTTCCATTGTTTATGCATGGATGGCAGTCTTGGAATCAAAGTTGACATTGAAATAAAAAATAAATAAATAAAAAATAAATCATCTCTAGCCTTCTTTAGCCCCCCCAGGAGATAACATTAACAAGAAAAGAAATTCTATTCATTGCAGAAGAATCTGCAGTAGTTTCTGCTTTGTCAAATTCACCCAAAGATCCCAAACACAGGTGGTATTTTTTGCAACTTATCAGCATTAACTAGAAAACTAGCAAGCACCATTTTAATGTTATCATATCATATGCACATTTATTTAATTAATTATGTCAGAGTATGCAAGAACTATTTGCCTAAGGTCAGAGATGTCTTTGTGGAGGATTTCTAAGTAAAATGGACTCACTTCGACATTACACAGAGGGAAAGCTTTGAAAATACCCATGCAGTCACTTGGGCTACCATATATTCGCTGTGCTATTTTATTTGTAAATCTTTTAAAGAATAAAAGGGATAAAACTTACTAACTTAAACATATTTTTTAAAAATAATTATATATGTATATATATCTGCAGGAATATTTAAAAAATTGTTTTGTAATTATATATATAATAAATGCATAGTGATTCAAAAGTATGCTGCAAAGTAAAGGCAATAGAGATGAACAAAATAAGCAGATTTAATATGGAATATCTGTGCGGAAACAGTGCATTGAAGTCGTACAGGGAACTACTCAGCAGCAGATAGAAGTATTCTGTTGCTGTAAATTACTATTCTCTATGCAATTTCAAGTGGTATATATTACTTACATCAATGCAGACTTCGTAAATATGCATTTTATCAATGACAACCAGGAAACATTTCTTTTGGGTATGCTCCTATATGTTGTATATATTCTTAATACTATTATATATATTGTATATTATATATACAGTCAAAAGTCGTTAATTCGGACACCCATAATCCGGACCTCAAAGCTAAAAACTTTCTGCGCATGCGCCGCGTTGGCACATGCGCACAGGTGTTTTACGAGTGCGCGTAAGACCTTGACTACTGCGCATATGCGTGTGCGCAAGTGCAGAATACGTTTTTGCCTGCGCGTTTAATGTATAACGGACGGTGTAAGCTAAAATGATCTAATTATCTATTTCAGTTAATGTTAATGATTGCGTTGTTCCTTAATCTTCGAATTGGATCCCGCTTATTATTTTTTGCAGACTGTAAGAGCAATTTTATAAAAGTAAACTTGAACTTTTGATTATGTCAAATAGAATTTCCGATGCTGGAACTTCCAAAGGATCTACAAAACGAAAGCATGTTTCGAGGTCCAACAAACAAAAAGTGGAATTGCTGCAAAAAATGGATAAAGACATGAAGAATGTGACAGAGAGGTTAGTGAAAACGAAAAAATTTCGATTGACAAGTTAGTCGGTATTCTCGGCACAGCAATTAACGGGACTTGAACAGCGGAACTTTGTAACTGAACAAGAAATTATGTCTGTTTATAGAATTAAAGTGAAAGTATTATCATATAAAACGAAGCAACTTAAACAACTTACATTGAAAGAAATGTTTAATAAAGTAAACAAATAAATATTAAGGTTTTTTTTTTTGGTAAATTTTGATACCCTTTAGATCATAATTGTTCTTTATTTCATGAATTACGGTTTCATATTTTTAATTTTAGAATTTCTGCATGCCATCTTACGAGATTTAAACTGATGATCTATAATCCGGAATCGCCGAAGTCCCGACGAGTCCGGATTAACGACTTTTGACTGTATTGTACAGTGTGAACCTGACATCCAGTATACAACTAACTGGAACATTTTTAAATTACAAAACTTCTTTTCTCTTTTTACAAAATATTATAAAACTAGCCTAAGTACCTGATGCCAGTTAAGTTAGATTGAAAATAATATATCTAACAACAGAGAAAATAATACTGCTGTAATCCTTCTCTAATTATTGATCTTTGATGTAATAAAATCGGGTGAGAGTGTTTTCTTTTGTTATGAGGTATTTTTATCAAAAGAAGACAAATTCACTTAAATGCATTTTTATTGTAAAGCTGTGCAATATAAAATATTTCAAGTTTTATCACCAGAAGCGAAAACATACAAATTCTTTCCAGTTCCTACTTTTGAACATACTATGCACAACTGAGAGTTCCCAGATGAATACCAACTTTAAGCAATTGATCTTGAGCTTTATTGCAAAAGCAAGAAAATCAGTAACAATGACACGCAGTCATTGTTGCTGATATATCACTGTTGCCACTCAGAAAAATGAGGGTGAAAATTAGCATTTTAAGTGTTTTTAATTAACATCTTTGATTTTAGCTATTTTCCCCCCTCCTGGAAAAAAGTGGATGTCAACCTTTTCCAGGACCCAGGAAAGAATTGTAGAAAGTTTGGTGATAATAGTAGTGACTGAGTTATTAGTGAACAAACACACAGACTTTCTTCTTTATATATGTAGATGAGTGCCTTGCAAATCCAACATAAAGCATGTGTAAGACTATGAATCAGAACAAACAAAAACTTTCATAAAGCAGTGTGATTTACTGCTAATAATGAATAAGTGTGACATCACAATACAATCATAAAATCTTTGTTTTGGTTTTCACAATGGTTTAGCTTTTGTGAATAATTATGTAAATTAAGCAATATTCATCTGTTTTTCCTATGCCCCCAATGGGGGGGGGAAGATTAAAATTTATGATCTGTCTTAACAGCAAGCAGTGGAGTATTAACAGAATGATGGCATGTGAAAAATTATGCCAAGCGATTTGAGCTTTTTATATGCTATACGTGTAACTTGTATCTCTTGATTATATAAATAAATAAAGAGTAAATACTTCTTCGAAACTTTTGCTGGAATAACTGGCACAAATTTGGCAGAATCTCCACCAACTTCCATAATCAACAGGATTTCATAATCATATAAGATGTTTTACTTTCATATGTTTACGGCCTACAAGATTAATTTGGCTTTTATGGGTGAAAGGCAATTTTTTTTCTCAGAATCTTACATAGTTTTAAATGTAGGCTTTTGCTATTCAAGCTGACTATTTTTACAAATTTAACCTGGAAATTTCTTTTCTCCCAAGTCGCATATCCTATGTCGTCTCTTTAAAATAATAATAAAAAATCTGATGTGTACACCACATGACTTCCTTGTACGGAATATTAAATTATACGCATTTTTTCTTGCATATTATTTAAACTTATTAGATTGACCTACTTCGCCGACAGCGCATAAACCACAATAGAATAAATGCATTCTTTAAAATTCACTTTGTTTACCATAGCGACACTCTGGCGCTAGGTTTACTTAACAGTATTATATTTCATTCATATTATAACTCATAATGCACAAAATGTATATCATTTAAAGAATTATATAATCGTTGCCACAAATTCTATTCAAATACTATAATAAAGCTAGAACTATGTATAAAAGATATTAAGCAAACAAAACAAAAAAGAAACAGTTTTTCACAGACAGTTCAGTATTTCTCATTTAATTAATTCAGTTCTCACTTCGCGAGAAGGCAAAAATACATAAAAACTCAAAATATCTACATTAAAAATTACGAAGTAAATCTCAAACGCTTATTTCCTCGAAAAAATTCCAGAAAGAATTAAGCACGATTTAATTGGCAATAATAAATGAATGCGTTACCTTTGTTGCTGTGAAACTAAGTTTCTCTAGATTGGCAACAAATCCACTAGTCTCCTGTTTCAAATGTAAACATCAATGGCCACCATTAAAAACAGGCTTAGCGGCAATTAAACAAACTGATAATTCTCAAAATATTGCACACAGATTTACTAAAGGCATAAAATCCTTAACCGGAAGATAAAAACAACATAATTCAATCATTTTTAAAGCAAAAAATGTACAATTTACAAACATATAAGAGTAAAGAAACTGAAATCACCAAGCCGGGTAATAGAGTTGATATATATATAAATATATTTATATACGTATGGTGCGGCCAATTTCAACCAAAATACGAGGTGCACATATACATGTTATAGCAGTCCTATATACAAAATTTCACCGTTCTGAGGCTACTCGTTTTTGAGTTATGCGAGATACGTACGCACGCACGTACGTACATACGTTCGTACAGACGCCACGAAAAATTATCTTCAAAATTAATTTTAAAGCACTTTTATAATTTTTTTGAAAGAAAAGAGTATTTTATTCTGTCCTTACGTACAGATATCACGCAAAAACATCGTTAAATTGCATTCGATAGCGGTCAAAATGGATATTTTCGTTGAAATATGCTGCCTGAAAATTTTCGTGATTACAATACTTCCTTTTTACTTCGTACAAGGAAGTGAAAAAGGTTTGAATCTTCACAATCAGACAACTAAACTAGAAAGCACAAAACAATTCCCCAACTCCCTCTTTTTTGCACACTGTTTGCAATGAACAGTTCTGATGTTACATGAGAATCTTTTATTTGAAACAAATTTATATTACTTTAAATTGATGAGGAAAATGTAAACACCTTTTGATGATGTTTAAAAAATAATAAAATTATGGTAACTTGATGCTACTATATTAAACAGTATTTTAAAATTAAAACAAAACAGCCAAAAAAATTGCACTTCATTTGATAAAATAATAATAGTAAGAAATATGTTCTCTTGCAAAATGTTAGTTTTCTGTACTAATGATTTTTACATCTTAATTTATTTTTGAGCATGAACATTTAAAGAAATTTACATAGATATTTTAAAACAGACAGACTATTTACATTAATACTCAGAAATCTGTTACTATGTCTTAAAGTGAAAATAAGCTGTATCATATCATATTACTTTTAAGAAACTGCAACAGAGTTAAGAAATCTTACAAGTATGAAAAATCATACCTTTTCATAAAAATTCTGCAACTGGTGTAGCATGTATAAATCTAAAAATCGCATCTTTCTAGGATGAATACTATGCTGTTTATTATCAAAGCGATCAAGACATCCCAAGAGAAATTTGAAAGTATTACGTATCTAAAAATACAAAGCAAATGTTCTTTTAAATTATACACAAAAAGAATACACAATTAAAAAATTTAATGCTAAATTCTAAATTATGAAATTATCCAAAATTCTTTGGATTGCTATTATAAAGCTACAATATAAATTCTAGATTAGTGCATAAATTTTATATTTATATTTTAAAAAACACTGAGTATTCATCAATTAATATAGAGCTTCCTTCAAAGATCAAAACGTCTATGTGAGCTTTGGAATTCAGATTAGGATCAATTAACAAACATAAAAGGATAAAATGGCTTACATTTATCAGCAATTATGAAGGCCAAATTATATCAATGCCAAAAATGTGCATTTATTTTGGAAATCTGTAGATTTTTAGGAGTGTTTTGTTACACCATAAAAATAATATAAAAAATTACCTTTGAAAATAAAAATTAAGATTTTTTTTTCTTCTTTAAATTTCTAATGGTAGATTACAAAGACAACTGTAGTCAGAACAAGCAAAAATGAAAAAAAAAAAAAAAAAAAAAATTGTCCTTAGTACCTATAAATCCATTTTGTGTCTCGGCTCCCAATATCTCTCCCAGAGAGATCCATTGGCATTGCGCACAACCTCGGCACTGCGTACTGCATTGGCTTTGCCCATATCTATTTTCACTTAAAAAAACATCAGAGAATTGCACAAACTCGGCATTGTGCACTGCACTGGCTTTGCCCATGTACCTATCGATCTATTTTCACTTAAAAAACATCAGAGAATTGCACAACCTCAGCTTTTGCAATCTTTTAGGATCGAACCAAAAAGAAATACAAAATATTAAAAATAAGCAACTTTAAAACAAACCATACAAGAAAATTTTGTTCACTTACCCTTTTCAAGAAAAATGTAAAATCTTTCTGAGGGGTTTTATATATGTATATTGAATTTATCTCAGGTGGAAACCCTTTTGGATCCCCCCCCTCATCTTTAAATAAATTTAATAATGTTTTATACTCCGTTTCCGTAATATATGCAGAAAAAAGGCAAAAACCCACAGGGGAAAAAAACTCGATAAAAAAAAAAAAAAAAAAAAAAAACCACCACATAAGAACATTTAAACCGCAACAGAATTAACTGCTCAAATTAACAGGTAAAAAAAAAAAAAAAAAAAAAAAAAAAAAAAAAAACAAATAAATAAATAAATAAAAATAAAATAAAATAAAATAAAGCTTTCAGATTTTACATTACGCCCAAAGGGGCATTTTTTTAACGTTTTGTGTGTTACATTTCTTTATCAAATTTAATGTTCTTTACACTTAAACCATAAAATTCAGTTCAACAGCAATATCGCAAAATAATTTTAAAATGAGCATATCTTTAGAATTTCCGATACGCAGTTTTGCACTTTGCACGTAAAAATGTTTTTTTTTTTTTCCCACATACTGTGTTACCGTTGTTCGCTTTGAAATCTTTGAGTTTGTTAATCAAAAATTCGTTCAAGTTTTACAAAATATCAATCAGATAATAAGAGAAATTCCAAATTCCAAGTTTGGGCTTCCAGATGCCCATATTAGTTTGGAAACGTATGTTATTAAAAATTTGATGGCTCTAGGTACCGTTGTTTTATCACAATGTGAGAAACATTTATGCAGATTTTTCAATACTTAATTTCTTTATAAATATAACACAGGGCGATAACATCTAGTGGCAACAGAATAACAACACAGCTTCAAAACATCGGGTTAGCCATGTTGGCGCATTTATTGCCGATTGAAAAACAATCGCCAAGCAGTGGGCTAAGCCGCATTTCAACCCCTCTTGTCTAATGATGGTATTAACTGTCTATTTGATGGGGTTGCAAGGCAATTATTATTATTATTTTGAGCGTCTCCCGTTGGGTGAAACAATTATAGTAAACTATGAGCAAGCTAAATATCGAAATTCAACAAAATTATCCAGTTTTGGTCATTAAGAAAACACATAACTATCCATCATGATACATACTATTGAAGTGATGCTGTTAAAATTGAAGGAATTACTATAAGAGAAAATTCTTGAGCAACTAACAAATTTTCTAGACTCTTCAGACTTTCATATATGCCAGCACAGCATAATAACTTGGCATAAAATATGATTCTGCAAGAGCTGTCAAAAACTGTCTTACATTTCCTTTGCAGAAGAACAAAGTGGTTTCCATAAAGAAGGAATTCATATGCTCATAAAACAGTGGAATATAATTGCAGAAAATAATGGTGAATATAGGATATATCAAGAAATCTCTGTCTCTCTTTCTCTTCATTCCTGATATGACTGCTCGTACTTAAATTTTAAATATGGCACAAAATTTTGCTATTATCTAAAACTGAGAAAATCATAATTGTTTACACACCTGCATTTTTTAGGCCATAAAAATTAAATTTTAAATTCATTTGAGCTCGTTAAATTAGTTAAGATGACATTACTAAAATGAAATAAATTTAAGTAGGTTAAAAATGGAAATAAATAAAAGATTTTCATGCCACATTATATTTAAACTTCAATTCCCTTAAAATTATTGGCATAACAAGTGAAATCAAATTTGATTTTTATATCCAGTCAAAATACATTTTAGCCACTAGCACAGCACTTTTTAATGATTTTACTTCAATTACTATTTCCCTAATTATAAATACTTGCAATTTTAGCTATTTCTCATTTGAAAGGATAGAGCAGATGAACAATCTGCAACTCAAAAACTTATTTTTATAATATGCTTGAAGGCTACAATATCAAAACATGTTATCTATAATGCTTAAAATATAATTAAAGTGTAAATAATGAAGTGTCATTAGAATTTAACCATTTTCCTGTTATGAACAACAGTAAAAGTATACTTACTTTATTCAAATTCTCAGCACATTCTTCTATTATTTTAATTTTTACAGCAATATTATCATGCTGACAAGCATGAGAAGCAATCCACCAACGTAAAACATCAACTCCAAATGCAGGGAATTTTCTATCCTTAAAAATTAAAGAAACTAAAAGTTGGTAAGAACAGTAAGATACAAGGCTATTAGATGTTTGAATGGTTTTAACACAGCTATAATATATAACATACAAAGAGATTAATAAGATTTTATAAAATACTAAAATTTAAATAACTCAGTATTTTTAAAATAATAATTGCCGCCCAACCAGTATATTGGTTTGTGTCGCTGACTGCCTCATGGAAGGGCCTGGGTTCAAATCCTGGAGAAGGCATGGATGTTTGTAAATGTATATTGTTGATAGGGCATAGCGACACTCTAAATATGCGGTGAGCCGAAAGTCCTCTTATGTGGCTTGGTGGAATGTTAGAGGGGTGGGAGACCCCCCAACTCCCACCACGGAGTGCTCTCCATCAAAATTGGGGGCGGAACTGAGCTAAATCACACTGTCACCTGAAACGTGCTCAAGGCTGTTGCCAATGGCAGGCGTATTCTAGTGCTCCTTACCATGAGGAATTTCATGGGCTTGGGCTGACAACGCCAGACAAGTGAGCATAAGCAACACCAACAACAAAATAATAATTTTAACAATTATAATTTCTTTGAAACATAAAAAGTATTGAAATACTTGGATTGAAAAATCAACAAAAATACTAAAATTTAAATCGCTCAGTATTTTAAAATAATAATTTGAACAATTGTAATTTCCTTCAAACATATAAAGTATTGAAATACTTAGATGGAAAAATCAAACCAAATTTGAATATAACACAATTTTAAAAGAAAAAGATCAGCATCTTTAGCAATTATTTTTAATTAAATAATAATAAATAATACAACAATGAGAAACTTAATTTTAGAAACAATGTTTCTAGTTTATAATCCATATTCATAATGTTTGTTGTCATAATCCATAATCATAACGCTTGTTGTGTGCAACTGTAGCATAATTGCATACAACAGACATTATGATACTTGTCTGCACTGATTAATGTTTTCCAATTGCAAGTTCAGATGCCAAAAAATATGACAATGACTTTAATGCCTAATCAGGACCAACAGACAGATGTTTCCTAAGAAATATACGAAATGCTGCAGTAAATTTAAATCTTTTCATTTTTTAAATAAAAATAAAAACAAATCTAATTTTATTTGCATAAAATTATGATAAACTCATTTGCATTTAACTTATTAACACTTCAAAGAGAGGATTCTATTACAAATAAAGATCAGAAACATGAAAGCATACTGTTGCCATTATGGTGCATAAAATATTTTATTAAAAAGAATCTGTAAAAAAGTTATTTTATTTGTACTTCTTAATAACATTTTGCAAAAAAGGACTATTTTATATTATTAAATATGATAAATAAAATATATTTATAATACCCTAGAACCCTTTAATATATTGATTGAAAATTTTCTAACTTTACTTCCATGTATTATTTGCCTACATTCAAAGTAAAATCAATCAGTTATGAAGAAATTTTATGACACACAAATTGTCATTTTCCATACATATTGCCTTTATTAACCTTATCCAAATAAACTCTTTTACTTTGATTTTTCTCTATTTAAGTTGATATTTTTTTACTTTATTCATTACAAGAAATATGAAAAACCAATGCTACAGTTTTAAAAAATTGAAATTATTTCTAAATTTTAATTTTATGCAATTGTAATGATTTAATATAATGAGTTAGTAGCAATAAGTATCATTTTCATTTAAAAAATGAAATATCTATGCCATTTTATATATTATTATTTTAACCCTCTGAGCGACACAGGATTTTCATGAAGACCGGTATTTAAACAGCATTTATTAATTGAGTTCGTATAATTATTTATTTTAGTCTGTATTTTCATAAACTTACATCTATTAAGATGATATTTACATTATTAAAAAAGTAAGAAAGCAAAATTTCTTAAAGTATGAACTAATATATGCCAAGTAGCAAAACTTCTGATGACCAAATAAAGCAGGTCATAATGCTCAGAGGGTTAAATGACAACAACTTTCTTTCAGGTTTTATCTGAAACCTTCAGAATTGAAAGTTTTTTTACTATTAATTTTTTAAATCTATAATAATGCATTAATTATAACATTCAGAAACATCAAAATAATAATCACAGAAAATGCATTTACCTTAGAGCCAGAAATTATGTCAGCAGGAGATATCACATTTCCTTCTGATTTTGACATTTTACGACCATCAGCATCAGTTGTGAAGCCATGAAGGACAATTGTTCTAAATTTTAGTGATTTACCTTTAGTATATATTTATGCAGAAAAAGTTGAGAATAAATAATTCAATTTCAATATATTACACTCAAGTATCTATAGAAAATTCTGTAGATAATAACTATCAGCTTGGCACTAAATATTATATAAATAAAAATGTGTTAAAGGCTTAAAACTTTACACATTAAAATTAACATAGGTGAAACACTTATAAAAGTTGACATGCCGAGCTAGGAAGGTGCGAGTGTAGACTACATTTCAACAGTCACAAGCTTCTCATTTGTTTGATACAATATTCATAGAAAAGTTTCATAAAGTTTAAAAGGTAGTACATTGAATTTATATACTGACTGTGGATAACACACAATCTCAAATTATAGGGATTTTACTATATTCTTGCTAAGTTATTACATCCAACAGACACTAAAATCTACCATCACTTTATGGTATTGCTTAAAATTTTTCAAATTGTTGAGAATAATCACACGTACTCCCCGTTCTTGTTTTAATGTCATGTATTTTAACCGTAACTGTTTTATAGTTTTGCTTAGGTTGATCTGGCAACAGTCGAAGTAGTCCTTGGTCATGGTTTGATATGTAAAAACGTGCTGTTCCATGTGCGTGAAATTCCATCTTTTAATAAAGCCTCTACTTAATTATCATCGGCCTCTGATTCACCTTTTTTTTAAATCTTTACAGCAGAGCGTGGTTCTGATATTGAACACGCTAGAGGCGAAGCATTTATATTTGTTTTGTGGAACTTATTTGTTTGGAACGGAATCGCGCGTTAAGTGAAATTTGAAATGGCAGCACGTGATGAGAACACAAAGTATTGTGTTGAGCCGTTTAACGGTAAAAACTTTTCTCTGTTTAAGCGCCGTGTAGAAGCTGTGTTTGCAGCCAAAGAACTTGATAAATATTTAGACGTTGAAGCGGATGAAACGAAAGTTGCTGAAATCAAAGATGCAAAAAAGGCTTACGCATTGCTGCTAACCCTTCTAGATGATGCCATATTGGCGACCATGTCGAGTGAATCTTCTGCATGTGAAATTTGGAGCAGTTTAAAGAATAAATACCATAAGGTGAGTGCAGTTAGTCAAATATTAGTACGAAAGAAATTATCGACACTGAAGAAACGCCGAGATTGCAGTATGCAGTCACATATTAACGAACTGTTGGCGATCGTAAATGAACTGCGGCTCTTCGGGTGCTGAAGTCAAAGATATGGATGTGATTATTTATTTGTTGATGTCGCTACCTTGCTGAGTACGACATTATTAAATCGACGATTGAGAACCAGCCAAATGAAATGCTTACGCTGGACTTTGTTATGCAAAGGCTCTTGAATGCTGAAGAATTGCAAGGTGAGAGAAATTCTTACGATTCTCGTGTTTCTGGCTCAAGTAATAACGTAGCTTTTAGCGCTGATAAGCGTGATATCATCTGCCACAAATGTAAAAGTAAAGGTCATATTGCCAAGCTTTGCAAGAAAAAATTAGTTTGTTTTGGATGTGGACGCCCAGGGCATTACAGGAAGGATTGCAGATTTAAGCATAAATCAGATTATAGAGAATCGGCTGCAGTAACATTCATGGTTGGTGAGCCTGTTGGAAATTTCATTCTGGATTCTGGAGCATCTACACACATGTGTAATAAAGGTGAGTGGTTTGAAGAAATTAAACCTTTTTCTGGAACTGTTGCATGTGCTTCGAAAAATGATGTTTTAAAGGTAGAAGGTATTGGTACAGTACCTGGAACATTAAATGGAAGAGAAATATTACTTAAAGATGTGTTATATGTGCCTGAGTTGAACGGTCAATTAATATCTGTGAAGAATATTCAAAAAGCAGGTTACAGTGTAATTTTTAAGAATGATGTAGCTGTTATTGAAAAGAGGAATGAAAAATTTGAGTTTGCTAAACTCAATGAGAAAGGACAGTATATGAGTCAATTTGAACCAGTTAAAGCTTCAACACACATTGCAAATCATAGTGCAGAATTATGGCACAGGCGCATGGGGCACTCATCTGATAAAATATTAAAAGAAATGGGTTTGCCAGTATCTGAGTCACCATCAAGCTTTTGTGAAGAGTGCATATTAGCAAAACATTCCAACACTCCTATGAACAAAGGTCCTAGAAGCAGAGAGCATGTGCCGATGAGAATGGTACACACTGACATATGTGGTCCCATTGATCCACCCACTAGGGAAGGTGAAAAGTATTTTGCTACAATCATAGACGATTTTTCTAGATTTACTGAAGTGCATCTCTTAAAGCACAAGAGTGACATAAATGAAGTGTTTAAATTGTTCCTAAAGCAGAATCCTGATGTCTACAAAATTCGGTGTGATAATGCCAAGGAATACGTGTCTGGTGAACTAGCTCGTTATTGCAAGAAAAATGGTGTTATGATAGATCCTGCTCCTCCATATTCACCTCCTTTAAATGGTGTGGCTGAGAGAGCCAACAGATATCTTTTAGAGAAGGCCCGTGCTCTAATATGTGAAGCAAAGCTTTCTAAATCCTTTTGGGGCTATGCTGTACAGACAGCTGCATATCTTAAGAATAGAATTCCAAATCAGACTGTTGAAAATGTACCTTATGAGCTCAAATATGGGAAGCCGCCTGATTTGAATATTATTAAGGTGTTTGGATCTGATGCATACATGAGAGTTCCTGATAACTTAAGAAAGAAATTGGATCCAAAATCAAAAAAGATGATTTTTATTGGATACTCTACCATGGGTTATCGTTTACTGGACCCAGTCACAAATCATGTTGTGGTTTCTCGAAATGTATTGTTCAATGAAGAGAAAAAGAAATGTATCTCAGTTCAAGATGATTTTTCCATAGAAAGTAAAGATCCTGCTAAAGATGAAGTAGTATATGATTCAAGTGATGTAGAATCCAGAAATCTTGAAGAAAGTCATGAAGAAATTACTAGGCAAAGAAGAAATATAAAATTACCTGTAAAGTTGAATGATTACTTTGTGTATGAAGCTAATGTGGCAACTCTTGATACAGTAACATATGAGGATATAAACATTGCCAAAAGAAGAGCAAGTCCTATGGAGGAAAGCCATGGATGAGGAAATAGCTTCTCTTAATAAAATAAAGTGTGGAAGTTAGTCAACTTGCCAAAGGATGAAAAGCCAATATCCTGTAAATGGTGTTGCGCATCAAACGAAACAATGTTTACAAAGCTAGACTGGTTGCTCGTGGCTTTGAACAGAAGCCAGGTATTGATTACTTTGACACCTATGCTCCTGTAATTAGTACATCATCACTTCGACTTGTGCTGGCTATCATTATTCAAAAGAATCTTGAAATCTATGCATTAGATGTAAAGACTGCATTTCTGAATAGTGATCTCCAAGAAACAATCTACATGGAACAACCAATGGGCTACAGTGACAACAGTGGTCGTGTGTGCAAGCTTCTTAAGAGTCTTTATGGACTTAAGCAAGCACCGAGGCAGTGGTTCAAGAGATTTACTGATTTTATAATTCAGTTAAACTTCCAACAACTTAACTGTGAAGCATGTACTTTTGTAAGAAGAACTAAACAGAGTGAAAATATTATTGTGCTGTATGTGGATGACTTGCTAATTGCTGGTTCTAATGATTCAGAGGTAAAAATTGTGATTGAATTACTTAGAAATGAATTTGAGATGTCCAAGGCTGAAGTTGCAAATGAATTTCTAGGAATAAGTTTTGAATATTCACAGAACAAACTTACTTTAGGCCAAAAATCTTATGTTGAAAAATTGTTAAATAGATTTAGAATGTTAGATTGTAAGCCATCTGATACTCCTCTAGTGCCTAAGTCAACTTCATCAAATTTTGTGAATGGTGAAAGATTTCATGGCCCTTATCGTGAACTTGTAGGTGCTTTGCTGTACCTATCTATGACAACTCGTCCTGATATTCTGTTTTCTGTGAACTGTCTGAGTCAGATACAAGAACAACCCACTAACAGTGCTTGGGCTGGTCTGAAGCAAATTCTTCGATATTTAAAAGGGACATCTGAACTGAAATTATTATTTTGTAAATCTAATAGTGTTGATATTATGTTAAATGTTTATGTTGATGCTGATTGGGGGTCAGATACAAATGATAGAAAATCTATTTCAGGGTATATTATTTTCTTTAATGATTGTCCTGTAACTTGGTCTGTTAAAAAGCAAACATCTATTGCTCTGTCCTCTACTGAGGCAGAAATTTTGGCTTTAGCAAAAGCTATTCAAGACCTAACTGTATTTTATAATGTATCTAAAGAATTTTAGGAGTCGACAATATTAAAGTTTCAGTTTATGAGGATAATCAGTCTGTAATTAAAGCAATATTAAATGAAAGTAATTGTGCTAGACTAAAACATTTGGACATTAAATTAAAGTATATTAGGGATATTGTAAAATTGTATGATATAAATCTTGTATATGTTTCTAGTGAAAATCAGTTAGCTGATTTGTTTACAAAATGCTTGCCTAAACCAAGATTATGTTATTTAAGAGATAAATGTAAAATAATATGTGATTAAGGGAGGGTGTTGAGAATAATCACACGTACTCCCCGTTCTTGTTTTAATGTCATGTATTTTAACCGTAACTGTTTTATACTTTTGCTTAGGTTGATCTGGCAACAGTCGAAGTAGTCCTTGGTCATGGTTTAATATGTAGAAACGTGCTGTTCCATGTGCGTGAAATTCCATCATTTAATAAAGCCTCTACTTAATTATCATCAGCCTCTGATTCACCTTTTTTTTTAAATCTTTACACAAATTATACCAGAAAATGCCATTCTGTGATGTATTAGACATGGTGGATTCATGAGGCTTTAATGAATAAAATAGATGTTGTACTGTGTAGTGACAATTGAGCTGCAAAGGCCTCTCATCAGTGGTGCAGCAGCATACAAACATTACATTTTATCAAAAACTAAAGTATCTTATGGCATAAATTCTACAGATAGTGGTTCACAAACTCTGTGCCCTGGGGAGCCATGGC